TTTAATTTATAAAATTTTGGATCTGTTTTACTTTTTCCCCAAATGTCTATAATGTAGAAAATAGATGGGTATATGCACAAAATCAGTTCAACTGGAGCAATGAAGTAATTTTCTAACTCAAGTATACAATGTTTAACAGCTGTCTCACCAGTTTAAGTGACATTCCCATATTTATGGTCTTAACCAAATAAAGAAGTGTACATGGAACAAGCCTATTGTCCTGTAACATTAATGTGAAATCAAAGAAAATCAAAGGGAATCTTCATTCTATTGCAATTTTCATATTAGTTAAAAATGTAGCAGAATGGAATAATGTCCAAAGTATAATTCCAGGTACAATTATTTAAAACACCTGCAAGAACTAAATAATATTTTTGGCTCTTTGCAATAATTCATTTCAATTCCAAATACTTTAGTAAAAGGCAAAAGATTTATATGATCTGAAGAGAAACCAGAGTATACTGCTTGTACTACAGTTATTATAATCTGTGATATCATGTAAAGGAAAAGCAAAATAATCAGCCTCTCAATGTTTCTGATTTCATTGACTTAGAACTATTGCTAATTATCTAAAAATGATCATTTTCTGTAAATACCATGTTGAATATTAAAATAGATGATTTAATATTATAAATATAATCCCTGACTATGTAATTGATTAACCACTTAATACATTATATTATTTCTAAATAATGGTATTTATTAAATATTATGAAAGTAATTATGTGGAAATTTTCAGTTAGTTTAGATTGCCATTTCTCTAAATTACTTGTTTTGATAAATACAGTTATAAAGTATCATGAGAACTGAGATCCTTCAACTGTTACCTAGTTGCATTTTTTGAATAAAATGTTGACAGCCTCTATTACAGATAAAATATTCTTGTATAGTTGAAGTGATAAGCAAATTGCCAGACTCAAGGCTGGACAATATGTGCTAAACCTGTACAGCTGCACCCAGCTGCTCAGCTGACTTTTTAGAAGTTTTTAAAAAGCTAACAATAAAAAAGAAACTACTAAATTTGAAATTCCTAATTAGAACGCCAAATGCTGGCCTTAATACTAAAAGAAATAAACCCAAAATATAACAATATAATTAAACATCAGTTGTCTGTAGAGATGGCCACATCATTTCTTTAATAAAACCTAGCCAACTCTAAAATTATTCATTCTGCATTTTTCCTTTAGGTTATTTTTTTGTTGATGTTGTTAAAGGATAGTGTCCTCACATCACCTACAAATTGCCTGATTTTCTCACTATTCACTTGAATTTATGAATTATGTATTCTATTCCCTGTTTTACAAATTACATTTATTAGATAATGAGGATAATACAGTTCCAGGCAAAGCAAAAGAAAGTTTGAAGATCCTGATTGAAGATAAGTCTGGAATGTTCACAAAATAGCAAGGCAGCCAGTGTGTCTGAAGAAGAGTGAGCAAAAGGGAAACAAGTAACAGAATACATGAAAGACAAAATCATGGGGAATTATGTAAGAGACTATTAGGGTTTCTGCTCTTATGCTTAATGAGATGAGGAATCTCTGAGCAGAAAGGTCACTTGTTATAAATTAGGTTCTCCCAGGTCTTTCTGGGTACTGAGGTAAGAATCACCAAAAAGGCAGTGTTTCAGTCAAGAGGCAAGTTCTTATATTAAGGGATTTCTTACAAAGAACTTGCTTACATCATGTGGGTAAGAGAGTGGGAAGTTTCTAAGACAGACAGTCAAGAAGTGAAAACCATGAGTAGTTAATATCCTGCGGGCAAAGACACAGCTTCTTGTCTCTGATGTCTACTGCTGGTTAAGGAGGGAAGACCACAAAAGGTCTAGATACCCACAAATATGAGCCAGAGCTTGTTCTCTACAGAGTGGAGTCTTTTTCTCTCCCATGGAAGACCTGAGACCTCTTTTAAAGGCTTTCCAACTGAGTAAGTAAGCTCCTCCCATTCCCCCAAGCATAATCTCCCTAATTTAAATCAGTCTGATATGGAGTTTAATTCATTTTCAGAATTACTTCACAGCAGCACCAAAGTGAATGAATAAAATGGAGGAAGCATGCCACAAAATGGCTGCTGCTTACCTTCTATCTTCCACCTCCCGTAGGAGAGAATTTGGTAGCTCACCCTGTCCAAAAGCTTAGGAAAGAAATTCTGGAGAATGTTGTTTAGACTAGTCAAGTGGCTATGTCATAAAGATATCGTAGCAGTAAGCAAGAGATGGGAAGACGCCAGGGGGCAGGCTGAAATAGGAAATGGCATACTGATGGTCTCAAGGTCTACATGGTGTTGAGATAGGAGTATTAGAGGGTAAGGAAAGGGAGGGATCTCTCCAGGAGCCAGTGACTTCTGAGACCTCCTTTTATGGGATGGGACACGTGCACAAGGACAGTCCTGATAATTTTCTAGTTTCTCATAGTTGGAAGCTTCTTGGGACCTCTCAAGTTCTCTCCCACAAGACTTTCAGCTTTAGTTAATTCCTAGCTCCCAATTATTCCTAGTCCCCAATGCATTTAATGTGATTAGCTTAATTCCATGTACACAGTAAATATTTAATAAATACCACATATTATTATCTTCAAGTCATCATATGGTTATACTCAGGATTTCCTTCCTAGATGAGTTATTTTTCACTCAGCTTCCATAGAAGTCATATCTACATTTATGTTTAAAATAAAACAATAAGACCTTAAATTGTTGAGGAACTAGAATGTGGTATGGTCATAGTTTTGTAGCCAATAAAATGCAGTTTGAGTATTAATACTGCAGTCTCGTGACTGGACAATCTTGCATGATTTATTATTCCTTTGCATGCTTTGCCATCTATCACAGTTCCTTTGAGGTAAAAGGAAATATTGTTTGTAAGTCTTTAGTTAATTATAGGTTCCCTCTGCTATTACTTTCATTTTTTCCTCTGACTTCAGATGAAGAGAACCCCTGGAGGCTCATTTTCTCCATTCCATTGGGAGTACTGAAGGTTGGTTTCAGCAGAAAAAAAATAAATAGAAGACTGGTTCCAGTGCATGAAATTCCTCTTTCTAAGAAAGTACCTTCTTCACCTAGGAAATAACACTCGGATACACATTATGCTGATGTTGTGCATCCTGCAATCCTTCAAGGGATAAAGAGCTTTATAGGGACTTCCTTTGACAATTTTTTTTTTTTTTGGCATAGAAGAACTAGGGTGTAGGCAAGAGGCACGGGAGGTGAGAGACTTCACCAGAGACAGAGTGGGGAGCAGAACAGGTGGATCTATTGAAATACACTGCTGAGGGGAGCAGTGGGAGAGACAAGAGAGGTCTGCTGAGCCATATGTGGGTTAGCTCCCTGGCCAGGGATTAACTCAGGTCAGGAAAGTCATAGAGCAGAGACTTAAGCCCTAGGCCACCAGGGAGATCCCACCTCTGACAGTCTTTTTCCTGTTGTGTTTTATCCAGCTGTACCCTTCTAAAAAGACATAGGGTATGGTCAATCAACAGATTATGTGCTTCTTGGTACATCTTTGCTCATATATTTTTACTAGATAAACTCATTTTGTTTTTTGTTTTTTTAAAGATTTATATATTTATTTTTTATTTATTTATACAAGCACTGGGTACAGTCAGAAGCGCGGGAGGGTGAGAGAATTCACCAGAGCCAGAGCGGGTAGCAGAGCAGGCAGAAGGACCAAAGTACACTGCTGAGGGGAGCAGCGGGCGGCAGGAGAGGTCTGCGCGCCATGTGGGGACCCTCCGGTGGCCAGGGAGTAGCCGGGGATCGAACCGGCGCTGCAGAGGCTGTGGGCATCTTTGCAACCCAGCGCTCAACTGCTGCACCACCGGGGAGGCCTAATAAACTCATTTTGATAGTGAACTACCTGGTTCTAGTATTGCTGTGTGTCTTCCTTTGCATAATAAATCATTTCTTCTATAATTGTGAGGACTGTTGCTTCTCTGCATTTTAAGCTAATTAGTTAATACATAGGACATCTGTTTTTGTAAACTTTATGCTAATTTTATTGAAACAAGAGATAAAAGTATGTTCTCCCTGTAAAATTAAATTTTGAAATAATAGCTACTATCTACCTTGCAATAAATTTTATTTTACAGCAGTTTTAGGTTTTTTACAAATTCGGATGGGAAGACCAGATAATTGCCCTAGCTTCCAGCCCCCATAATGCACATCTCTTCTCACAATTGACATCACTCATCATAGTGGTACCTTTATTATCACTGATGAATCTTCGTTGGCACATCATTTTTACCCAGAGTCCATTCATAGTTCAAACTAGGACCCATTCACAGTATTGTACAGCTTACAGTTTTAATAAATATATGATGACATGTATCCACCGCTGTTGCATCATTCAGATTGTTTTTACTGCCCTGATAGTAATATGCATTTAATTTCCTCCATGTCTTTTCACGACTTAATAGTTCCTTTCTTTTTTTAGCACAGAATGCTATTCCAGTACCACAGTTTATCTAGTTTATTTATGGATGTACCACAGTTTATCTATTCGCCTAGTGAAAAGTTTGGTTGCTTCCAAGTTTTGGTAAATTATGAGTAAAGTTGCTATGAACAACCATATGCAGGCTGTTTTATGGACATGTTAACTCATTTGGGTGTATACCAAGGGCCATGATTGCTGAATCACCATTATTTAATTATCAATTCACTAAAGACTTAGTGTTCTCTTAGTTTTCTATCATATAGAACTTTAGTTCTGAAGCACTCATTTGGCAATTACCTAAGTATTCTAAAACTTGTGGTGACTTCTTATCAAATTAGCAAGTGAAGAATGGAACATGTTACAGAATATTTCAAAAACATTTCTTTGATTTGATGTAATTAATCTTTTCTAAATATAAAGGTTAATGAATTAAAATGGTATTTTCTATATGGTAATAGGATTAGATGGGAAATAAAAACTTGCACAGTTACTGCAAACCTATTATTTTCCAACAGTTTCATCCAAGTGTATAGAAAAGCTATGAAGTCTGATTTCTCTTTTGGAAATAAACTTACAGTCAGAAAGATGAAGTCAGTCATTTCTCCAGGTGGAAATCTTGCAATTCCATCTGTCTGACTCCAGTTCTTTGTTCTTCTTCTAGGACATGCAATTCACCTCTGTGAGGAGGGAAGAAGAATTCTGCTTTATGAGTTTATCTCAACTTGTATTCCACAGAGAGATTTCAACTACAATGCCCTTGGGTCTATCTATCTATGTGACTTTTCTCTGTGGAAATTCAGGGTAGGGCTATAAAGGATTTTATAATCTGCAATTCCAGGATCTAAACCATATGGCTTCATTCTGTGTGTGTACAATAGATCAAGCTCTCTCCACACAGACAGTAGCAACATGTGTGTAATCACAACACTTTTAGTAGTTGTGACAGTGAGTGCCATTACTCTCCATACAGGAAACCAGAAGAGTGTAGTTATTTAGAAATAGTGTATGACACCCTTTCACATTTTTACTTACAATATAAAGAAACAGGTATGTAAAAATGTAATTTCTTGGAAATTAAAGACTGTTTCAAATGCAAAATATAAACCATAATAATTAATACTATGATTTTGTACAAATGAAAAAACAAACTGTTAAGAAAAATGTTTCCATAGCAATATCTTGTAATTTATATTTTCTTAAAAGATTAGCCAAAGTTTCTTATCTTCTGCAATATCTAAATACACTTCTTCAGGAAAAATAAATGCTGGTGTGACATTTCAATATGTAAATAATTGCAGCATTTAAACATAGAATTGCTTAAATAATTGCTAATGTCAGAAATGTTTGTTAACATTCTTTTGGTCTTATCAAAGTAAAGGAAATACTCTCCTAAGAAAAAGTGAAGGAACGTTTCAATGCCCACAGGTGTAGTTAAAGGAAGGAGCTCTCTAGGAAGACACCACACATATTATGACTCACTCAATGAATGCAGCTTAACTGACCTCACCTACAAAAGGAGACACCATAACTCATATCCAGCAGCACCCCGATAAACACAAATTTCGAAGTAGGAAATTCTTCCAATAATATGAGTTGTTTTGTTTTGTTTCTACATACTGTGTTTAATGCCAAGTCATAGATATGGGAATAGATAGTCTTACTCAATGAAGAAGAAAAATTAACTCTTCCTCAAAATGTTTTTGTGTGAGTATGTTAAGGAGAGCAATCCAAAAAGGATGACCTCCTGTTGACCCAAGAATTGGTCCTGGACAGTTGGAGTCTCCTTGCCCCCTCCCCTGTTCTTGGAATGTGTGCTCAGCTTGCCTTTCTGGCTCCCAGAAACTGTCCAAGGACACGTTCCAAAAAGGAGATGTCTGGTTGAGACCATCTGGACAGTGTGTATCGTTAAAACCAGTAAAGGTCTCTCTATAACTTTTTCATTGACTTTTTTTATTTAGGTAACATTAGTTTACAACAGTGTACATGATTCAGAGATGTAGCTGATACTTCTTTAGATGAATGTTACCACATCACACCCACCACCAACACACCCATTATCCACCCACAATGTCCACTGGGATGAGATTCCCCTCTTTGCCCTCTACTTCCAGCCTCCCCTTCTGGTAAATTAAATTATACAGTCAGATGCCTAGGATTTGTTTTGATTTAGCTTTGTCTGTTTCATCTTTTTGTTCCTTTATATTCCACATATGAATGTAATTATTCAACATTTGTCTTTCTACTTCCGACTTATTTTGCTTAACATAATTCCTTCCATGTTGTTGTGAATGCAAGATTCCATCTATTTTTTTATAGCACAGTGATATTCCATTGTGATATTCCATTGTGTGCATCCACCACATTGTCTAAATCCACTCATCTGTCATTGGACACTTAAGCTATTTCCCTAACTTGGTTATTACAAATAGTGCTGTACTCAAGTTAGGACAGCATCTATTTCTTTAAATGTGTGTTTTTGCATTCTTCTTTTCCATTCTAGGAGTGGAGTCACTGGGTCATATGGTAGTTCATTTTTAATATTTTGAGAAACTCCATACAGTCTTCTATATAAAATTTTAAAATTAGAATGGTGGATGTGGAAAACTTGTTTCAAGGTAGTCCAAGGCAATAAATTTTGTTGTGGTGAAGAAATCAAATATCAAAAATTCCTTTTATTCACTTAAAAAGATTTTTCCTTCCAAGGATTTTAGCAAAAAAGTAACAGATTTGAGGGCACTTGAAAGTTTTTTGTTCCCACTTAGATTTATTTTTAGGAATATTTCCATGTTTAGATATTGATGATAGATATATGAACACTGAACAAAAAGGTTTTGCCTCTATCATAGTAGGCCACACTTATTAATTTTAATTAACATATTACTACTAATAACAAATAATAATAATGTTATTTCAATAGATTACCATTTAATATAAAAGTGGAAATAATTATTTAGAGGTTAAATATGTAACCAAAAGAATTTCTATGAATTTTATTTTCATGTATGGATACATATACATTTATAAAATGACCTCTTATTTTAAATGGTCAGAATATTTTCAACAGTAATTTGATGATTTAATTGTAAAAGGTTCCAAAACATATGGATTATATTTCTGAGTTCCATTACAATTCCATTGGGTTTTTAAATAATGGGAAAAACCTTTAAAAGAATCCAGACCCAAAACATATAAAAAATAGCATAAGCATTTCAACAAACTCCAAATTCAACAGAATTTGCCCCTCCCAAGAGTGTAATTGACCTAAATCAGAGAATTTCTGTACACTTACATGTCTTCGTTTTGTCTCCATGTTGAACATAGTCAATTGGACATAATAACACCCAATAATTTTTCTTTTACATAATTAAATGGTAAGCTGAAGAAAAGCAGTCAAGAAATGGAGGAAGCTAACACCCCAAACTCAATAAACTCAGCAAAAAAACTTACTGCTTTTTTTTTTTTCAATCTACTAAAGGAAGGAACAAACTAGATAAGAATTAACTTGATTTTTACCTTCAATCTTTGCTCTGATTTGAATCACTTGAACAGGAATTATTTCCATGACATACCATTATACTGAATTTAAATCTTAGACTCAAACTATCTGAAAATATCATATTCAAAAACTTACTTTTGGGCCTCCCTGGTGGCGCAAGGTGTTAAGACGCAACCTATAAAGCTATTTGTAGCCACTGCAGCATGAGTTCAATCCCAAGCCAGGGAGCTATCCACATGGTGCAGCAGACCTCTCCTGACTCGCCTGCTGCTCCCCTCAGCAGTGTATTTCCTTCAATCTGCCTGTTCTGTTCCCCACTCTGTCTCTGGTGAATCCTCTCACCCTCCACACCGCTGGCCTGTACCCCAGTTCCTGTATGCATAAATAAATAAATCTTAAAAAAATCTTACTTTTACTCATTTACAAGAATAATTATTAAACTTAAGCAAATTCACATATAACATTCTCTTCAATTAAGAAGAGTGAAAGAGCCACTCAAGTTGCAAACATTTTCCAAACTCCTCCAATAATGTCAGAAATTGTGCTGTTTATTACAACGGTGAAGAAAATGTGTTTATTTTGCTTTCAACTTGAGAGATTCGCAATCCCCTTTTATCACCACATCATTTTGTCAGACAACTGTAAGCTAGACACAAACTATTCAGCTTGTTTGGTTTGCTTTCTTAAAGCTTAAACAAGTATATCCTTACAACCTTTGAACTCTTTGAGACATTCTTATTTTTCAATTTCTGAATCTTTGATTCATCGTGCTTCTTCATGTTCCCTCTAACATATCTCAAGCCCTGTCAGTGTTCCAGATTTGAAGGGTTATTATTTCCTTTGCAATCCCTCTCTTGTCATTCTACTCTTGAGTCTTATCATTTTATGTTGAGATTATCTCCTTAGAGCACATCTCAAATACCAAGATTTATTTCCATTTTAGCTTTCTTCCAAGATACTTTTCATCATATAATCTCCAGTCTTGTCTCTCAGATGATTTAAATCTAATCATATTTTAAGGCAGAGTTTATATTACTTATGAAAACCCTACTAATTAAGAGAAACATAAGGTCATTTCAATTATTTTGGAAAATGTGAAATTATTTGATTTGGTTTATGATACTTCTTTATATGTTAATATCTGACTCCTTGTAATAAATATGCATTTAGGATTTGACATTCAACATTAATTTAATATTTTTAACTTGTGCTGTACAATTTGACATAGAATTCTGCCATTTAGAATTTTTGGTGGTTTTTTTTTTTTGTTTTTTTTTAAGATTTATTTATTTATTTATACAAGCTCTGGGTACAGTCAGAAGCACGGGAGGGTGAGAGGATTCACCAGAGCCAGAGCAAGGAACAGAACAGGCAGACTGATGAAATACACTGCTGAGGGGAGCAGCGGGCACAGCAGGGAAGGTCTGTCGCACCATGTGGGACCCTCACCAGCGGCTGGGGATCGAACTGGCGCTGCAGAGGCTGCAGGCAACTTCTCAGCCCAGCGCCCAACTGCTGCGCCACCAGGGGAGGCTCTAGAATTTTTGTTTTTAACACACAAATTTGTATATATAAAATAGACTCTATCAAAAGGATTTCAAAGTAAATTCAATCAACCACAGAATTTGTTGTCAAAACTCTGCAACTGTGGAGCTTTGGCTAGTTCAAATCAATGTAGAGTCATTATTACCACCTAAAAAACACTTTACATTTTATATTATGCTTGCCTTTATTATGATACCATAAACCAGGAGTCTGTCAATAGCTATTAGTGGAAAAAAAATAACAAGTTTATTGAATATTTTGTGTATTGCATTGATTATTTATACATATAGTCTATATACATTCTATATTCTATATATATTCTATATATATTCTATATATTCTATTATATATATTGTATTTATATATTTATATATATTCTATGATTATTTATATATAATCTATATATATATTCTACATATATTTTTATATATATGTTCTATATATATATATATATTCTCCACCATCTCTAATGCCCTTTAGATCATTTGTTCCTTGCCCCTCCCTCTTAACCTCAGAAATGTCATTTCACTTATTAGTGTCCATTAGTATTTTGTTCTGTTAAATCACCTGCTAGGTAATTGTCCAATATGTGTCTTTGTTGGTCTATCTTGCTTTACTATGCATAATTCCTTTGGA